GGTTTAGTGGTATGCAGCGTACAGCCTAGATAATAAAAAATCAAACATAATTGACCTTCCTAACATCTTCAGAGTAGCAAGATGACGTTCACTAATGAACATAAACCTGTATAGTCTAAAAATATAAAAGGGTTAGCGTTTCTGCGAAAAAATCGGTATGAATTTAACTGATATATGAGGGAGGGTCAGATAAATGAAGTGTTCCCACTATTTTAAGTTTCCCGGCTTTCTAAATGCAGTATCGTGCGGATGGTGCATATAGGTACATTCTAAAATATGTCCTCACTCGACAAATATTCGCCAAAGTTACACAAACAGCACACCATTTGGACTATTCAACAAATGAATGTTATTTGGTATTTTGACATTACTCATTCAAAAGAAAATTTTAAGATTATCATTAATGAACATATTGGGTAATAACAGGTCGACAAGTGATCTCTGAAGTATCGCATAAGTAGCAAAAATTTCAGTCGATGTAATACTATACGATGCTGAAGTTTTCAATGGCCCGTTACAAAGACAACATTCGAAAAATTTTAAAAATTTTGTCGACATACCAAAATTTGATAATTTACAAAGGAAAAAGTGACAAATATCTAATGTATCAATAATATTAACAATATGGTTAAGGTGAATCTACTTGCCTTGAATCCATGCTGATAAGTCAGTATTTCAAAGAGTGACCGCAAAAAAAGCCATTTTTCCGCCTGTTTTTCTGGCGACAGGGAAAATCCTAAAAATATTCTAAAAATATCCAGATTCTCGTCGTGAAAAATTAAACTGAGGATCACTTTCAGTTTTTCAAAAATTTTCGAAAATCCCCCTTATTTAGGGGTTGAAAAGACAAAAAATGTCAACAAATCATCAACAGTTGTAAAACCCCAAATATTTCTATGTTGTTATCAAAACAATATTATGAACGTGAAAATATCTAATTTCGTATTTGATACGGTCTTGTCCGGATTGAAAATCAACCCATAATATCCCTAAAGGGGTGAAATCATTCCCTAAACGCCTAAAAATGTAAAAAATATATTAAAAGTTACAATGTTTTTCTTTTTCTTTTATACGTGATAATTGAACCGTTAATAACCCACAATCACTAGATACGAAGGAAAATACCCCCAAATGAGAGTAAAACCACCCCTAAGTTCAACCATCGGCTTCAAAGTACATACCTACATAAAATAATTATAATGCATGAAAAAAATTATGTTTCGAAATACATTCATTAGAATAATTTGTACACAAGTACTCCCATACATTATCAATCATTTTCAAAAATAATCGTCCCTCTCAAGGGGTAAAATCATCCCCCAAATTTAAAAAAATTGTAAATAATGTGAAAGAAATATTATTTTGATAACAACATAGAAATATTTGGGGTTTTGTTTTACAACTGTTGATGTTTCTTAATTTGTTTACTTTTTTGTCTTATCAACCCCTAAATAAGGGTGATTTTCGAAAATTTTCGCTTTGATGCTCATTTTCATTTTTCATGAGGAGTTTTTGTATATTTTTAAAATATTTTTAGGAGTTTTCCTATCGCCTCTGTCAAAGTCTCAAAAACAGGCCAATTTTGCGATCACTCTTTGGAATGACAGCACAAAACGTTATGCTGAAAACTTTGCTATAGTTAAATTACGCAACTGTACTTTGGGACTTTGGGTGTATAGGTAATACAACTTGGCGCTATAGATTTTGTTCAAGTAATCTACAAATATTTAACACATTTATGTTCGATGAATGTTTACATTAACAGAAGCCGACTTTGGGCATACGAGTTGCTAGCCATTTTGGAGTTTATATATTTCAATCTCCCTCGTAGGTAAATGACAGATAGACTAGTTTGTGTTAAATTACTTGGTCATAATACACAATAGCGTGCTAAGAGAACCAATTACTGTCTAACCGTAAATCCTCGGGGAAAAAACTGCCGCGGTGACTCACGTAAATATCATCCGGCGAATCCACAAAAATCGTTTGTCGCTCACTTGTAAACAGAGAAAATGTTTACATTACCCTTCAGTTTTACCAACATTCTCGCGTAGAGCGCTGGGATTTCTTACGCGCCGTATATTGGTTTGTGTTTCCCGTCTTACTCTATTAATTTACGAGGAATAATTATTACAGTACTGTTTATTACCCTGAACGTCTAAAAAATTAGTGCAGTTGGTGGGCGCTATGGGATTTCTTCTCTAAAGAACGTTTTGATGGTAGTGATCAATATTTGAAACCTCAAAAATGTCGGTAAGAGCGTATTTTTAGGCCACTAATTGTCATTTCCGTAAACTTCCGATTAGGTAAAGAATAGATATAAGATCGTGAACCTGAAATGATTTCCAACAATTGACATTCGTAAATAAGAAATGAAAGACGCTTGCATTTTAGGTATATTTTCTTGTGGATGCAAAGACTAAGAAAATTTGAAATAAGTATTCACACTAATGCCAAAAAGGTTAAAGGTTCGGTAGAAATCAAAAGGGTTACTTGGTGTCAGTTATTCTTTCCCTAGGAAACCTTAAAACAGTTGGTGGAAACGAACATAAAAAAGTTTGTTTGATTGATCAGTTGATTATTTATTGATTGCTAATAATCAAATACGGAACAATGAATGCAAAATCAAAAAAATATATATATATATATATAAAGGTTAATTTCATGCTTTTCTTACCATTATTTTTTATTTTTAGCAAATATTTCGTAACAGTCGGTTTTCTAATATAATATACACAAAATAAGTATAATAAATACTTTTATGCTCATAAAAAGTGATAATGTATATCAACTATGCATGCATGTTTATATAATTTTTCTTAGAGAATATGTTCCAAAGCCCATTTTCTTTTAATTAATGTATACAGATGACAATCAATTATATTATTCTTTTTGTCCTTCTGAGCTGTGGCCCTGATCAATGTAGGTATATCTAACAATAAAATCTATCTCTGAGGTGTCTTTGGCTCATAATCTTATTTTAAATGAATCTAAAACTCAAATGTTAATTTTTGGAAATAAAAGGAACATCATTGTAGATAACCCAGATTTTACTATTATTTGGAATAGGCATACTATTGTTCCAACTGATAACTGCAAAAATCTTGGGTTGTGGGTAGACAATTCTCTTAGATTTACCAAGCATATCAACTATCTTACTCAGAAATCTTTTAGCAAGCTGAAAGTCGTTTACATACATAAAGATCTTCTTAGTACTGAAATTAAATGTGTGATTTGCTGATATTATCCTCCATTGCCTGTTTTGGTCTTCAGAGATAAATAATGTCTCCAGAAAGTTCTAAATCAGGTTTAGTTATGGTCTTCGTGAGTTTGATCATATTTCCCCTAGTTTTAAAAATTCGAAGTGGTTTAACCTCAGTGCTAGATTTCAGATCCAATTGTCCTGTTTGACTTTTAAGTTATTATTATATCATTAACCTGAATATTTAACCGCAAAGCTCATTATGAATTTTGATGTGCTTCATTTGCCCATCCGTAACCGCTATAACTTTTGTGTACCAAAGAATAGGACTGCTCTGTTTCACCGGTCATTTTCTTACAATGCTATAAAAAATTATAATTCTTTGCCTAATGATGTCAGGTCCTGCAAGTCTATTGACAATTTTAAAAAAAGTCTTAAAATCTTTATTAGTTAATTATTGTATCAGTTGGTTGTATTATTTTATTATTACTGGATTTAATTTTTGATATGAGTGTGCATTTGGGTGTGTTATGTGTTTAAATAATTGTTGTTGTTTCTCTTTTATGTTTGCTACTTTATTTGCTATAGCGAATATTTGTAATGCTTCCTTACTTTCCTGGATATGGAAGAGCACCGTATGGTGAATATTGCCATCCTTTAAATACTTCTTTGTAAAAAATCTTTTTGTGATATAAATAAAGGCATCATTATTATTTTTTAAAGGCTGATTTCTCGACCCACAAAGAGAACTTAAATGGAGAAAAAAATCTGAAGGAATTAGCGAAATAAAATAATATGTTAGGGGTTGCCAAACCTGCGGTCTCAAAAAGGGTTGCACATTTCTTATATATATGATATCTTGTCTATGGTTGCACATATTTTTTTCCTAACCAATTGATGGATGTAAACAGTCCTTTTTTATTTTTCTTAAATTTTTAATATTACATAAAGTTACAATGTTATACAGTTTGAAAAATAGATTATTCACATTAAATTAAAATTTGTAGGTATATCTATAAAGAATATTTTTAATTAAGACATGATGATTCATTATGTTGGGCTAGGGCTAGGGCTTTATGAACATTTCTATGTTTTTTAACTTACATAAATTAATCTACAAGCAATATCTAAGAGAAAAATGAGTCGATTACATAATTATTATACAGATTTAACTTACATACACCTTGGTACAATAAATAACTATTAAATATTGACAAGCCTACAATAATTAAAGCACTTACCGTATGTAAATTAGTCTAAATGTGTAATATTTTAATTTATATGCAGTCGATGTTGAGAAATTTAGTATTACTCTATTATATATAATTGCACTTTCATGTGTAAACCTGAATGTCTTGAAAAGGATTTATCAAGATTGGACAAAAGTACATTGCATATTTAGTAAAAACTAAAGAGTTGAGAATGAAATAGTCATCCCTAAACCTACCCTTTAAACATGGAATTTGAATAATATTGCATAAATTAGAGTCCAGATGACCTAAATAAAAGTTTAACTTATTAATAAGATAAGACTTGAACATATCACAAAAAATATTATCTACCAATCCCTTTAAAAGGAAATTATGGGAAAAGAGTTTATATACCCTTATTTTTTGAAAAATTTTGGGAGACAATTTACCACACTGTATACTATAATTTATAAATATTAAAATAATAAAATGTGTTGAATCTAGTTAATCTATATCACTTCCAACACAAAAAAAAAATAATGTACGTATTTACATTCCATTCAAACTTGGTCTCGATTAATTTTATTTTACTACAACCTCTCTTCCAGATATCTGCTGAAAATTCCTCCCTCTCCTCCTTCACTTCGGATTTGGATTCCACCCCATCCCCCATGGAAGAACCAGCGAGAATAAAGAACCTAATAGAATGCTTCGAGTCCAGATCTCAACAACCGGAGAACATTTATGGCCATATCGATAGTACAAACCGAGTGGAGAACCTAAAGAATTGCCTTCAGAAAACGCTGGATCGAAGTTTCACGTGTGATAGTGCCATAAAGGACTCGGATTCCGATAAAAATGACAATGAGAATAAGGTGGCGGACATCATCACAAAATTCCAGACATACATCAAGAGCATGCCAAAGTATTGCAAGCCTAAAGTGCATAAGGATACCTTGTTTTACTGTTGTTTGATCATTGAGAAAGTTAAGGATGTGGCGCAGATAAAACTCAAGTACCCTTCTTGTGTAAGTAAATTTTTTTAATACGTTATTTCCATTTCATTAAATGTAGGTTTGTTGAATAGATATTCAAAAGAATATTTTAAAAATGTGTATATAAAACAAAAAACATTTGATAGTTCTGACATTAGCGATATTTTAAATATAGAAATAGTCCTGTCCAAGTATTTTCCATAAATAAAATGTTGAATTTATATGGTACTTTATTACAACTTAGTATAATTTTAATAAATAATGGTATTTCTCAACAAATAAAACAGGAATACCTGGTTAATACTTATGAGGGTTGCTTTCGGTGTGCAGCAAAATAAAATGCTCTTTCAATGGTAAAAATAAAAGTATTTTTATTGAAAACAAAGTTTGTGAGAAAGAAGTGTAGGCGCGAGCGTTCGCTGGAGAGTCCTCTATCTTACGATAGAAAAATTAACACATTTTTAATATTTTCTTCATCGCAGGTTGACGTTCCCCATAACATCGAAGACTTATGCTTCCCAGAAAGCGACAGCGTTCCGCTAGACTGCACCAACAGCGCGCAAGCCTATTCCCTTCTAATTACGAATGACAAAGGCGAACGGATGTTCGGCTACTGCCGCAGAGTTCTCCCCGAGGGTTCCACACACTGCCTCCCCTTAGCGTACTGCATCTTGAGCAAATACCGTGCCCCGAGATTCTACAAGAAAATCCTCACCGAACTCGAGACGAGACACGGCATAAAGAACAAATTTAGAGACGAACTCATCGGCCAGTTTTACAAACAGAAGTTCCCGAAGCCGGGGGAGTCGATAAAGATAGACTTGACCAACGTAGAACCCAAGATGGGTAAGACTGACAACAAGGAGAATCTCGAGGAGTCCGTCGACCTTGTCAGTTACGTGCACATAAATAAATGCGGCGAGTACGGGACCATTAATAAAATAGCGAAGAAGAACACGGAAAAAGTGGATCAGATTTATATCAGCGAACGTGATATAAAGAATCCTTGCGCGATACCCACTTACATAGTCGAGGATGGGGGTAAAACGGAGTTGGTTATGACGTTGCATCCGGATTCTAGGTACGAAGACTCGGATTTGAAGAAACTTCACAAATTGCCCCCGGATATTTTGATGAAGATATTCTCTTCGCTGCTTCTGGAGAGGAAAGTCATACTTATCAGTTCTAAGATAAGGTAAGGCATAGATTATGGTATGTTTCGAAACTTTGTGCTTGACAATTAATTTTGTGAAAAAAAGTTCATTTAAACGTACGTCGAAATATGCTCCGTTTTCAAAATACAGGGTGTTTAAATTTTAAATTTTTATTTATTTTTGCTAATTATTTCAAAGAGTTTTAAAAATATTGACTCGAAATTTGAAAAACGGTTTGGAGGGATAAACGTGCATTTTTTGGGGTGATCCGAATATTTCTACTTGCACAAGTGAAGTTTGTGCGAGAATACCACAACCTTTTTTTAATAAAAAAAATCGTACGCCACTGACTTCTTCCCGTTTTGATATTTTTTTAGAAATCCGCCATCAATTCTGAGTGAAATTGCTCTCCATTTTTTTGAGGAAAAAAGAACATATTATTATTTTACTGCAAGTTGTGTATTTTTAATTTCTATTGATACATTATCTAGTAGGTTGCTGTCAATATTTCTAAATAAAATACAACCACCAAATTTGAAGTCAATATCTTTAAAAATTTTTAACATAATTAATAAAAGTAAATAAAAAATTAAAATTTAATCACTGTATCTCGGAAATGAAGCATATTTCAACCTACGTTTGTATGAACTTTTTTCCCAAATTACTTTGGCAAACACCCCCTAAAATATTTCGCACTTGTTTACAAACATCCTGTATATTATTCTCTAAAAAATGTATGTTTTTGAAGCTATTTACAGACATTGTAGTGTATAAACTAATGATTTGAGAGAAACAGCTACTCTGCGACTAATTCCCTAATAAACATCTAGAATTGTTCGTCAGTCAAACCCACCTGACATATACTGGTGTCAAACTTATTTTTAGCAACTGTTGGTGTGTTAACTATAGACGTGGAGTAAATATAGGTTCTAACATAACAATGTAATGCCACATCTATAAACTGTTTGGTTTAGTCGCGACACGGGTTTTGTAGTACCCGCTAAACAGTAGGGCGCTCTCTGTCAGTTTGCCTATAGTGTTCTGATGAGAACTATTAAGTTTGAAACCGGTATATGCCTTGTGGATCAACTAGCGAATAATCCTGTTTCAGGTACATATAATTCAATTGGTCCCCAAAAGTAGTTGTTTTCCACAAATGTTATTTATTAGTTAATAATTGTTTTAATTGGTCGTATAACTTTGATATTTATAAAGATACTTGAACAAAACTCGGAATGCAAGTAAAAATATACAGGGTATAGCAAAAGTACCGAAATGGAAGAATAACTCGGCGGGAGAGCATTTTATAGAAAAATGTTACATACAAATGTATCAGGATTTCTCCCTGGCTCTGCGATGGTGACCTTGGCATTGACCTTGAATGTCATTTCAAAGTCAAATGATTTTTCAAATGGGACCCTATACTTTTGACCCCAGAATTGAAGAGCGCAAAATTTTACGTTTAGACACGACCTTGAGTGACCCCTCCCTTTTGACCTTGGAGCCCTCACAAGGTCAAACTAATAAAAGTACAGGAACGGCAGAATAACGGCGGGAGAGCATTTTCGAGAAAAATGTTCAATACAAAAGTCAATGTCAAGGTCACCATCGGATAACCAGGGAGAAATCCTGAAACTTTTTGTGTGACAAAAATACTAACAGCATACCACCTGTGCCATCATTTAAAAGACATTTACATTTTAGTGTAAAAAACATTTTCTTTTTGTTTTTTGCTTTTAAAACCAAAATTACAAGAGCAATCTCAATTCCGTAAATGAAAAAGTTGTAGAAAATGAAATTTCGATCGGTTGAAAAGAACCGGAGAAAATCCGGAAAATTCGGCTTTTTTTTTAATTTAGTACTTTGTCATTTATGAAGATTAAGAGCTGAAATTTGGCCCAGAAGTAAACAATTATATCAACTTTAAGTGTGTAAAAGGCAGGTGCTGTAGGATCATTAGTTTTTGCACAATTGCAATTTCAAATTTTTTATATTTTTTTTTGTCGGAAGTCTGCTTGCGTTAAAAATGGTCCGATTTTAATTCTAATACCAGTTTTCAAAAGAGAAGTAAAATACTATAAAACGTATATTTCAAGTTTTCATTAAAATGCAGCGAAATGAATGAAACATGCACTTGAACATGGGTGCAAACGGCCTAGCGCTGGTATTAGAATTAAAATCGGACCATTTTTAACGCAAGCAGACTCCCGGTAAAAAAATGCATAAAAAAATTGAAATTGCAATTGCGCAAAAAATAATAGTGCGACAGCACCTGCCTTTTACACACTTAAAGTTGATATAATTATCTACTTCTGTGTCAAATTTCAGCTCTTAATCTTCTTAAATGACTGTTATGAATTTTTGAAAAAAATGCCGCATTTTCTGGTTTTTCTGGATTTTCTCCGGTTCTAATCAACCGATCGAATCCCTCGACCTCTCATTTTCTTCGAAATTTCATTTCCTACAACTTTTCCATTTACAGAATTAAAATTGCTCCAATGGTTTTGATTTTATAAGCAAAACATTTAAAAAACGCGGTTTTTTTGCACTAAAATAATAACAAATTAATTAATTAAAGAGTTGAGAATCGAAAACACATCGGAGTATATCTATGGACTGTCTTTTAAATGATGACACAGGTTAATATTTTTGTCAAGATACTTTTTTTTACACTATTGATTGGCCTGCATAAAGCACGTTTTCATTAAAAAAAAATTTGGAAATATTTTATTTCAAAAAAAGTATATTATCTAAATGTTGAAAATTTAAGCCCCTTAAACTTAAAGGTTGTGATATAATTCTTTCTGGATAAATAAAATTACATATTTCACTTACTGGTTTTTTAAATTATTTAAGAAAATTAAAAATATTTTTTTAAATAAGTTTAACACCCTGTATTTTTTAACGATGCCTCCTAGATATAAATTTTATACAAAAGACCCCTTAAAATTCACTAAAAAATACAAAGTTTCATTTTTGGTCACCGTTTGTGAATCACCCTGTATAACGATTTTATAGAATTTATCCGTTACTTTCATTAAATACTGTATAAACTGTAATGTCAAAGACTTACTTAATTCGGACATTTTTTTTTCTTAACAGTCGAAGGAGTCAAAACATTTTGAAACGTATGAACTACGAAAAGTAAATCATGACAAGATCTTACAGTGATCTAGGAATCTTACAATTCTGTCACAAAAACTCCGAAATTTCAACGAACGCCCAATTTTGAAGTAACGATTCCTCGATTCTTTTTGAAAAAATATTTTCAATTTGATTTCAGCTTTAACAATCGTCCTGTTTTCAGTAAATTATCCTCCTGCGTGGACTCCCTTCAAAGTATTCTGTACCCCTTCACGTGGCACCACACCTTCATACCGATATTACCCGAAGCGTTGTGGGACATCGTCGAAAGCCCGACCCCAGTGATATGCGGAGTTCTCTCGACTGACGTAGTCAATCATCACAAAGTTGAAAACGTAAGCATCCAAAAAACAATCGTTTGAAACGTTAATACTTATATTGTCGACTACGATTATTTTTTCAGGGCATAGTGGTAGATATAGACAGCAGCACAGTATTAGTGGAAGAAGGGGACGAAAACAAAATCCTCAGTGGCAGCATGCAAAAGGTGTGGAAACGGAGCATAGCGTTGGCCAATAAAGCCGCCGCCTCGATGGACTACGTCCATTCCGTGTATTTAAGCGATGCTTATCTGCAAGTTTTCATATTATGTTTCAAAAACTACAAGAAATATATAGTGAACGGTAACTTCCAGGTAGGGTGAATGTACGTTGGGCAAAGAAACAGTTTTTTCATGCGTCTTTATGTTTTAGAAAGAAGAGTTCCTTAAAAATGGCAAAACTAAAGGGATCCGAAGGTTTCTAAAAATGTTTACTGAAACCTACATGTTCTTGGCCTTTTTAGACTCCGTCCTGCAAAATCCCGAGAACCTCCTAGAGTTTGATAAAAAAATTCAAATGTATGGATCTGAAGACTCGAGCGTTATATTAGATAAGTTGTTGGAGTGGAATAGGTAGTTTCTCGTTTCTGTAAGGATAGTTCTGTAAATATGTTACAAGCAGCTTTGTTATGTTAAGTATTATAAATATGTAAGATATTTTTATACAGATATTAAACGTTACTTTTTTAAAAGCTTTTTTATTTACAAGTTTACACTTTTATCACAAACGTGAAAATAAAAAACCAAAAAGTGGTATAGCTTTTATAAAATGACTCATGCGAGCGAACTTCAAAATTCACTGATGTTTTGAAGCCAACCACCAAAATGCTCAAAACTCATATTTCTCGTACAAGTGTATCAAAGGCAGACTATAACACGCCTAAGCAGCTCTACAAGCCTTAATGTATGTTAAGACGAATTTTCAAAATTCACGGATGTTTCGAATTCTGCTCGAAGCTCCCCAAATGCAACTGAACAGTCTTCTATCGAGCAACAAGCCGTTCACCACAACGCCTGACGACCGAATTGCAAAAATCGCCGAACTTTCCGATATATTTACCGACCTTTCCAAATGTCTACGGTCGAGCTACCAGGACGACATCAAGCAGGCGTAGCTAGTAGCTACCCGCGTCATCGGACGATAACCATCCTAGATAAATGATACTATAGATATCAAACTTGAACAGATTTCGTGGTCATTAACAGCGCTAACTGTTGACACTTTCTCCAACTTCTATTGCTTTCCTTTTCTATGAATTATCGGTAATACAGTGAGTTAAATTACCTGTAGCCGGTAAAAGATGCAAGCGCCATCTAGTTGTACGCTCTACAACTATATACCTACCTACTCAATATTTGTTTTAAGTACTCTGCCGCCGCTAAATTTAAAATTACATAACAAATCTCACCCTACACAGATCACTCAGAAATTGATTTTGTAAAATAATTTTCACGTAGATAATTTTTTTTGTCACCATGAGAAAATAAGTACATTTGATAAAAAGCATTAAAATCACTCAAGCATTAAAGACACTTTTAAATGCTCTAATAGTCTTCCTACTTAAAATAAGAAATAATTTTGATACTGTAACTTTTTAAAATGTTTGTTGAAAAAATTTCAAATTTCAGTACATATTTTGAAAAAAAAAGAGTGAAAATGATTAGAGTTTCAGTGCGTTCTATATTGTATTAGCTTTCACGGTGAATAAAAAAATATTACAAGTAAATAATTTTACTAAACCAATATTAGATTAATTCTTGTAATAGAGATTTATTATGCAACTTTAAATTTTTCGTTGTGTTGATATCCATAAAAAAACTACCTACCTCTGATCACATTTTTTATTAAAAAAAAACAAAAAAACATTTTATTATTAATAAAAAAATGTGATTATATGATGATCAGACATTATTATGTTATATAAATAAATGTGAATGAAATATCTAATAAAACACACACCAACACTCGCCAAACCTAACCAACAATAAACAATAAACATGAAGACATGAACAAGAATGACATGAAATGATCATAATTGCAATTGTCAAAATTTATTCTACAAAATCTTTGTGGCGACATCTATAGACTCTTTCCCCAACTTATATATCCATCTCAAGTCACGTGGTTCCCAGAGTTTCCCCATATTTTCAAGTATAAGTTCTCGGGCACTGATAACCATGTCACAGAAAATTTAACTGAGACCTGAGACTGTGTCCTATGATCCGAGGATTCCGAGGTGATATTATTACAATTAATAGGTAAACTTGTAGTTGATCCTAAAAATAATGTTGGCACAGCATTTCCTATTACTGTTTTTTAAACATTTTTTACTCAAAATGGTCTTCGCAAAAATAATGTGTTTGTCGGAGTAAATTCTGATTTATATAATTTTCGAACTGATTATATACATAGTAATTGTCTGTCTTTTGTATTTCTGAAAAACCTTTTATGTCTATAGAACATATTACAGATATTCATATAGTAAGATATGCTTTTGCAATTTGGACACGGATTTTTTTATTAAATTAATTTAAGAAATCCGTGAATTTGGAGCACAATAACATTGACGTTTAGTTCTACCAGGTACTGATTGGATAAAAAAAACGAATAAAAAACAGTATTAAGGTAGTTCAGACGATTGATTCAATAAATCCCTTATTATAGGTATTAATCTAAAACATAACAAATTTATTAATGCATAAAACGCGGCAACCTACCTCAAGTACTGAAGATAAACTATATCCTCAAACGTCAAACATTCTACGTTGATTGAAATATTTCTGCCAATGCATTATATTTCTGTTGATCGAAAGATTGGAAATACAGATTTGATCTGTGGTGGCAAATTTCTGTTTAACAATTTCTATAAAGGACAATGTTTTGCTGCACCAATGTGGGATGGCCTCAGTGAATGCATGATCCGTCCGCTCTATCCAATAAAAGCCTCTTATTTATTTACTCTTATGACTCTCCCTTTCGGGGAAATTCTAATAAAGAACGCAATCATAACTATTGTATTGCGGCATTGAATTATAGTTTTTTAAGATGACTTCGTTTCATTACATTCAACAAGAACAAATGCCTATCTCTTGTTTAGTAAATTACAGAATATTGACATAAAACGTAAAAATATAAACAAAACTAAATGGTTTTCTCTATGACCGTGATTTAAAATTTTTAAATTAGCTTCATAGATGTCACTTTAATATTTTTGACAACCACACTGTATTTCAACGAATGACTTACCACACATTATTCTAACTCTATTCGAGCATGTCACATTAATAATTTAAAATATTGTGAACAAATATTTCGATTTTTATAACTTAAGCCTCTAGGAAATTTTGACTTGTACTAAAATAAAGTTGGCTATGCTTTTAAATGTCACTTGTTTAGATTGATTTTGTAACGGAAGTTTTATGTATTTGAACATTTTCTGTCGGTTAATAGCTAAAGATTTTTAAATTTCGTTAATTTTAATTTACATGATCGGGGATTAGTAACTCGTACCTCTTCATGGAGTCGTATTACAGTAGTGACGAAGAAATCGCTTGGGGACCAGTCACGTTGCGAGAAATAAATGCTGATTTAAAGAGATATCAACCTAGGAAACCAAATAGGAGACATACGGTACTGTAAGTGTTTGTATATTTAAAAAAAGTTTAAAAGTAGTCTTGCATTATCATATTTTTTTTTTAGTTGCAAAACTCGGAATACTAAAATGGACGAATCTCTTTCTAAGGCTATGAACAAACTAGACATATCTGGCACATCAACCGCATATTACACCCCAAATGAGAGTTTAAAAGTTGCCAATAATTCAGATTTTCTTGAAAAACTTTCGCATGTTATTAATGTTCCAAGTTCAGAATTGTCCGAGTATGCCTCTGTATTGGAATCCACAGGAAATACTAAGAGCCAGCTAGAGAACACGGAAAGCCAAAATGAACCTCTAATTGTGCCATACATATTGATAAGTAAACCAGATAGTTCTGTTCAGAACGATTCTTGCATGGATTTTATTAAGGCATTGGAAAATCGAGAAACTCAGTATGATATAGAAAACTTTCAACAAACTCTCGTTGAAAACAGTTATGTACCATCAGAAGAAGAACAAATAACAACTGAAGAAGAGATTTCAGTCAATGAAACTAATTCTGTAGGTGAAGAAAGTGAAATAGAAGAGAGAGAAGTAATTGTTTTAAGCGACGATAGTGACAACTCTGCAGAAGATTGTAATGTAAGTTGCGATGAAAGAATTACTTCATTCAGAAAGGAAACTGATGAGTTTCAAGAGAGTGAGTTTCTTAATAAATATGACAAGACTGAAAATAAATATGAGCTACTTGAAAATGATTTGGGAAGTAATGGTGAGGAACAGCAAAATGAAGTGAATGAGTCCAGTGCATCAGGTATAGATACAATTTATATTTTTAAAATGTTTCTATATTGTCCCAAATTAGTTATACTTGAAAGTTTTAAAAAAATCAATTTAATTTAATAATAACTTTGTGCTGTATACTTTTATTATGAATTCACAGGTAACAGAATTAACGCTTTTGAAGAAACGAGTTATCAGCGTAATGTGGAGGAGTTATTACTAACACCAAATATGCAGCGTCAACTGTCCACGATAAAAGAATATAGTACCTCCCCCGTTATTGTACCGGAGATAGATTTGACACAATTTGACGATTCCCTGAAAGATGATTCACTTCAGCTAAATGATACTTTAGAAGAAATGAACAGATGGCTGAATGAAGGTATTTATTTATTTAAAATTAATATATCAAATATATCACGTAATTTTTTATAATCTAGGTCTAAATGATCGCATTTCAAATGACGAAATTGTAGAAGAAACACCCACAAGGAAAGATATTTCTACTCCATGTAACAAAATTACTTCAAAAAAACAGTTATTGTCGTGTGATAGGGACAAGACGAGCCATATCCCAAAAAGGAAGTATATACCCACCTCAGCAGAAAAGAAAGTTAACAACACATACACCCTTAAAAAAATGTCGCCAAAAACCGATTTTAAAATACCTGAAATACCTTTCCGCCAAAAACTAACAACACCTACTCCCCCGAAATCCGGCCTTAATTTAAAAAATATCGTCAGCCCCGTCGCGCTGTATATAAAAAGTAGCCCCAGGATTCCGCTAAAGCAAAATGTTCCGTTGAGAGAGTTGCCCCGGATTGTAACCACCACAAGCACAAAGTCCTCGAATAAAGAAAACTTGGTGGGGATGGAGTTCCCTGAGGTCGCGTACAAACCGTCAAAAAGTCAAAAAACGACAACGGAGGAACCCGTTGTAGTGCCGCCATACATGAAAAAGTTGATTACAGAGGGACACATCACAAAGCACGAGGGCAGGCTGAAACCCAAGCGGAACGATTCAAAAGTAAGCAGAAAATTACTACAGTCTGACGTTACAAACACCACAATCGATCAAAGCTTGTTGGATAACACTGGGGACGTATCGGTTTTAACAAATAAGCAGGCGTTTATAAAGTAAGTCTTATTAAATATAAGTTTTTATCTAGTGATTTTATTTAACAATATTTTTCTCTATTTTCTGTTTTCTGTTTTAATCATCAATCAGCTACCTACTTTGCGAGTTATATATAGCAAATAGTTTTGTTTTATATTTTGAAATAAATTTTTTCATATTGAATTTTTGATTTTGTGATCATTGTTACCTATACTCCGCGGTCGAAATTATAGAGAGTGACTCATCGCTAGCTTTTGAACTAGTAAGGGGGATGAAACGTGCCGGGAATGAAAATCCATTGGTGTGTCTGCGTAAAAGGCAACAAAATATAGAAAATATTGAAAAAATATAATAAAACATAACATCTAATATTTTTTTACGGTTTGCTATAACCGGCACTTTGATCCATTTTAATTATTACAGCATTTTAAAACGTCCCAGTTGTGTTTTTTTAATTCATAAATTTATTATAGCCATGGAATTAGACCCCTCGTCTACGCTTATGCTATGACGTTTCTCAGGACTGATAAATCAAGTCCATTTACACCCACTAAAAAATCATTTCCCTATTCCCTACCAAGTGCAAAAGACAAGAGATAGAATATAGATCGACATTCAGTGTAACTCAGTCTATAGACGATTATAGATTCTATCAATGTGCGTAGCGAGCTGCACAAACATAAATAATATTGAACCGTATAAAAATCATTTTATATTTTATACACATTATGGTAATAGTGTTTTTATATTATGTCCGAGTCACTCTCTATAATTTCGACCGCGGAGTATAAATATTTATAGGGACATAGAATAAGTTCTGGCTGTTTTGCAACAGGTGGCGATACCAGAACTATAAGTGTGTAGTTTAACCCTTTAAGTGCTCCAGACGTATTTATTCGCTAAACATTTATAGGACTCAAACTGCTCCAGACGAATTAATTCGCTTGAATAGTTAATTTGGATCAGGCTGCTCAAACCGTTATATTCGCAACCATGTGCATTGGTGACTCGGTTGTTACAATTGGTATAGGGAATTTTTGTGGGCGAAGCTTATAGCGACTGTTGCAATTATTTTTATGGAAGGAGGTACTGGGGATAATGTCAAGATTGTTCATCTCTTTTTCAGTTTCTATTTAGTACGGCTGTCGATATATTGTATTTTATTTAAAATAAAATCGTAAAAATATCTAGTAAATTGACAGATAAAGAAATGGAAGAAATTTTAGCGACGTATTGTGCAGCGAAAGGGTTAAGATGGTAACGCACCTATAAAGAAGCAAGTTTGAAATACGGTGTATGTTATTTTGCAGAAGTGTAAACTATTTTTTTTTTCATATTGTTAAACATGTCGAATTTCGTCTCAAAAAAAAAGAGTGTGGGGAATTTTATTCCACTACTTTCTTCAAAAGAAATCTGTAGCTGAAGCACCTATATAACAACATGCAGAGATTGGTTTAGACGCTTCGACAATAATGATTTTGTTGAAGATAGATAAAAAATGTTCTGGTGCACAAAAACACTTTGAAGATAAAGAATTAGAGGCACTACTTCATGAAAACTCTTGTCAGACTCCAGTTGAACTTGCAGAATCATTAGGGATTAATCACGCAACTGTTTCGAAACGTCTGAAAGCATTAAGAATGCTTGAAAAGCATGGACATTATGTGTTGTACAAGTTGAGGTCGAGAGACATTGAACGGCATCTTTACTCGTGTGAACAGCTGCTGCAATAGCAGAAAAGGAAAGGTTTCTTGCATGTTATCGTGACTGCTACGATAATCCTTTATAAATCATGGGGTCAGCCCGGTCATGCGTCAGCATCATCGGCAAAGCTTGATATCCATGCTTCCAAGTATCTGCTATTCATTTGGTGGATCAGCTGGGTGTAATTTATTATGAGAAACCATCACGGTAGATCGCTAGTGACTACAATTATTGATGTGTTTGTGCTGAGCATTGAAAGAAAAACATTCGCTTTACAAGCAGAGACATAACAAAGTGAATTTGCAGTATGACAACACTCGGCCACATGTTGCAAAATCGGTGAAATTTCAAAATAAAAAAATTGGGTTGTCGGTCTTGAAGTCTCGAAAAGGGTTGCACATGTAATGAGTGTTTCATAATGTGCAAATATTTTAAGGTGTTTAGAAAGTAATTATAGGAGTACTGCCAATACATTTTTTTGATAAAAAAAAAATAAAAGCTAATTTTTTTGGCCATTTTGCGATTTGAATATTTTCTCAGGGTGGGCTCAAATCAAAAAAATATATTGGTGGTACCCCCCCCCCCGAAAATTACTTTCTAAATACCGTAAAAATTTTTGCACATCATATTATGAAACACCCTGTATATGTATATGCGAACAAAATATTTCATTTCATAATCGAAATAGGAATTCTTTAATTCTTTACAAAACTATTGTTATTACTATTAGTTACACCTATTTAAGTTTTAATTTGATCCTATAGCCAAGCTGTTTAAAAATGAGATCAGTTCATTGTAAGGAAAAAATATTTTGTTTTTATACATGTCCCAAAAATAAATGCCAAAATTTTGACCACACTTTTAACACTTCAAAGACAACATTTTTGTAATATTTTTTTTTGAAAACCTCAGTTTTTAAAATAATATAATTTCTAAAAATATGAAATTATTCTTACCACTGTCTAAGTCGAAACGCTTAGTTGAGATAATATGTTACTTAGCTTTCTTTGATTCATAGGTAATTTGTTAGCATTATTTTGATGGGAACAAAATTCCACATTTAAAAAAAATTGTCAAAAATTGTTGCTTGTAATGAGTTAAATATATATGTAATTAAAATGGTATAATTTCTGGGATATCTTGTATATGCAACCCCTTTCGAGTGCCCATGGTTGACAACCCATAATTTAATTTTTCTTAAAAAAAGATAAGCTGGTAAAAACCCGCTGCTGCTATTGTGACATTGAAACAATTTTTAGACAATCGGTGAGCAACCAAATTTTTTTTACCTATTGCTTCTTGCAAAAACATGTACAGTGTAGGCGAGGTAAATGTGTGCCATTCATTTGCATTTATCAAGTATATAATTGTAAATTAACTATAGAGGCTTGGGGAAATGTCTAATTTCTTTTTTAATTTCTGTCTTCAGTGGGATTAATAACATAACTCCATTAAATTAATAACTGAAAACAATTATCAGTATCAGAATTTTGACAATTCACAAAATTTTACTTGAGTTCAATTCATCTAATCTTTCAGGTAATTTATATTTATAAAATTTGGAAAAAACTTAAGAGATTCGTAATAAGCTTTTATAACGTAACTTTAATACTAGAAAATTGTTTTAGATAATTAGCTTGTGCATTAATTAATCTGAAATTCGAGAGAAATTTAAAAAATTATTACATTGGGATATTTTTTTATATACTAAAAATATTCCATACGGTATTCGGAATAGGAGATTTATCTACTAAACTCAATACCAATTTTTAAGAGGTTTTATCAACTATTTTCAAGAAATTTCGAAAAGGTCATTCTTAGACCAAACTCTTGGAACACTGGATTTTTAATATCTAACTTAGGCGGCGTTTTATAGACAAGAAATCGCACTTTTAGCGAGACAGTGATAGAACAAGAAAATAGTATCCAAACTATAGAAATGTGTAAATACAAGAATTTCTTTTTCATTGTGACAGCCACCTTTGTAAACACCGGAAAAATGTACCTTTCCCATTTTGTTGAGTTTCGTAAAAAGTACTTCATAATATGTGATTAATTCATGTGTTAATAGTTTCTTAAAAGCATTCTGCGAGGTGTGATAACGTTTATAGTACCGTACGCAATTTTCTGTATGTTCAACAGGTAAGTAAAGTTCAAAAAATGTAATGATAAACATCGGAAGTAAAAATATGATTTTTTTCTTCTGAATGTATTGTCAGCTTATAAACTGTCTTACACCCTGGAGAAACCTTGTATAACTGGTGCAGTGAAGAGATATTACTTCTAACTTGCTTAGATTTTCTAAAACTCTCGACAAAAAAATACTCATAAAAGCGTCCCCTCCCCCTTAATCACAAACACGAATAAAACAAAATATATACAAAACATCTTATAAAATATTTTTTATTCTATATATTCTAGTTCTTTTAAGGATTTGTGGTGCTTTCGAATGTGCTTCAGAAGATTTGTATTGGTCGTGTACTGTTTCCCGCAAAATGTACAAGACGGTTTTGTAGTATTTTCCGTATGTTTGATGACGACATGCCTGTTCAAACTTGACTTGTCCTTATAAGCCATGTGGCACACCGTACAAACGTGTTCCCGTTTCCTGTCATCGTTGTGTCTGTAAATGTGTTTCATTAAAGTGGATTTCAAGGGAAACCACAGTCCGCAAATTGTACAATTAAAATTTCTTTCTTTGGTGTGCTTCAGTTTTATGTGAGTCTTTAAAGTACCCTTGTCTGTAAAACGTAATCCACATATTTCACAAACACATTGCTTTGGGTGTGTGTGTATTTTCTTGTGTTTAACTAAAACCGTTCTTCTTTTAAAAGCCTTTCCGCAAATTGGACATACGTGTCGCTTTTCTGTGGCGTGTACCTCAGCATGATCGTTCAAGTAAGATTTTTTTAAGAAACCTGCGCCACAGTGTTCACATACATATTTTTTATGAGACTTGTAATGTTCTTCGATTTCGGCACACGTTTTGAAGTTTTCGTTGCATGTATCACACTGAAGAATGATGTCTTCGTCTTTAATTTGTTCGGACACTTCAATTGTTGCTTTTGATATGTAACTCTCAATATCACAAACAGATAAGTTATGCCTTTTGGTCAAGTGTTGTTGCAAACCCGATTTTAATAAAAATCGGTCACCACATTCATTGCAGTAGTATCTCACATTCAAAATTTCTGAATTTTTAGGTTGACTATTGTCTTCCGACACTTCTTTCTTTATAACAGCTCTAGGTTCAATAAATGTTCTTGTAATATCTAGTTCATCTGTTTCAGTAGAACTAATTTGAATTATCTGAGTATTTTCTAGTATTGCGTTCTTGGTAGTATCTTCTGTACAATCACCAGATTTAATGGCATATTCTACTGAAAATTTATTTATTTCTTTACAGCCTTCATTATCATCTACATTTTTCTCCGTGAAGAAAAGTTTGATGTTACTATTATTTTCTATGAAAATGGTTTTGAAATTAAAAAAGTCGACCACAATTGTTGTACAGCTTTCGCACAAATATGGAGATAATTCACTATTATCTTCAATCTATTTGGGGGGTGAAATGAAAAATCTAAGTAAACTGTTATTAAACAAATATTTTTGTTGTAAGTACTTACTTCTAAATAAGTAGTGCTTCTTAGTATATCCGATAAACTGAGGCCTTGATCGAACTCGCTGAATAAATGGTGCATTTCCTGATCTTCGCTTAAACAGGACCTACATTTTGCCTTTAAATTTAAATATGTTTTTACCATTTTAAAATTTCGTTGACTTAACCACCAACATATGTCGACGACGTAACTTTTGGAACTATTTAATCAGTGTTGCCAACGTTACAACAAAATATTCCCCAGGAAAGAAGAAAAATAGAATATTACAATCAACGTTTTGTGGTAAAACAGGCTTCTACTGAATGTCTTTTTTTTATTGTTACATTTTACCTGGGTACACAATAACGGACGACTATTATACTTGATTAATGATGCAAAAATGATTAATTATTAAACACGGTACATATAATGCAAAGCTTAATTTTGAATGTGATACACTCTTTTTTACTGAAAAGAATATTAAAATTTAAATCATCAACGCTCCTGTGAACGCGTTCACGTATTAAAGTTAGAATAGAGATACTGACATTGACATGTTCCTAGGACATGTCAATCACAGATCAGATGTCAATTATTATCTCTGCCTCTGCATTCTCTGCTGTCAAGAATGAGTATGAGTGAGCAGTGGCGACCTGAGTGTAGATATGAGTTTATTCCATGTAAAATATTTGGCTTTTATTTAAATTTTATTTGCCTTTGAAATTTCTGTCTCAATTTGCTGCATCTCACTACATTCTGTTTGTGATTTACTGAATTTTATTTTCAAAATGTCAGAACCGAATATAACAACTTACAATTCAGTATGTAGAGCATGCCTAGCAACGAAATGTGATATGATTTGTCTTTTCTTGCCAATTAATGAAAATTTAACATTGTCAGATATGATTCAATATAATACAACACTTCAGGTAAGCAGCAGAATATGTTTACTGTTTGTTTACGACTATTGATTTTCTAGGTAAAAGAAACTGATGGATTACCTGGATGGATTTGTAAGAGTTGCTCCGAAGTGATAATTAAATTTTGTGATTTTGTAAAAGTTTTCCAGAAGAGCGAAAAATATTTTAAAGAAGTAAGGAGAAGACAAGAATTGTGTGACGCAAATATTTTAGATCCGGAAGGGATAGAGGTAATTAAATGTGAAAGTGATTCTTCAGATACTGATGAAAATGATGAATTGCATGATGAAAATATCAAAGACATTTCAGAAAACATCTCTGTAGATTCAGTAAAATATTCTTGTGAAGAATGTGGGGATTGTTTTTTGTATAAAGCTGGGTTTCAGCAACACATGAACAAAAAACATGATGTAGAAGTTACAGATTTTGAAATATACAGCTCGAAGATTACTATAAAAGTAGCTCCAATTGAAGATGCTTTGGAACCTATCATTATCATGAAAAATGACTTACAATGTAAAACTTGCAAAGCAGTATTCGAGAGTCGCAGTGCTCTTGAAGAGCATGTCGGTATTCATAAAAGGCATACGTGTGAACATTGTGGGGCAACGTTTACAAAAAAATCTTATTTCATAGACCATTTGGACATACATTCAACTATCAAGCATCACATTTGTAAGATTTGTGGCAAATCCTATAGGCGGAGAACTGGTTTAAGGTATCACAAGAAAATTCACGCTAATCTCAGGAATTTGGTGTGTGAAAAATGTGGGAAACGATTTAATCACAAACCAAATTTGCGGACTCACATAAAATTAAAGCACACTTCTGAGAAGAATTTTCAGTGTACCTTCTGTGGTTTATCATTTGCCATGAATTCCTGGTTGAGAAAGCATATGCTCCGAAAACATGCTGGTGAAAGAGAGAGGAATTACGTTTGTAATATTTGTGGAATTGCTTATTTCGAGAAAGGGACTTTGAGTCGACACGTTTCGATTAAACATAATAGTAATGGGAAGAAGTACTCCTGCGCTTCATGTGGAAAGGATTATACCACGCAAACTAATCTTAATAAACATTTTAGAAGTGTTCATAATTTAATTTCCAAAAACAGTGATTTATAATATTTATAATGTATATGATGTGATCTTGTAAGTTTAAAAAAATATATTTATTTGATTATGAATGTATAAATAATATTGATATTAAAATATAATAAATAAGAAAAAACACCTACTGGGAAGTTTTATTCTTTTCAGAAAAGTTAGTTACTCAAACTAATAAGATTTGTTTTTGTAAAAATTTTGAGAATTTTTTTGCAATAGCTGTTTTTTCAGCATAGTATTCTACAAGATTCTAAAGGGTACCGTTTGAATTTCTTGTATGTTATTTATATATATATTTATTGTATGTTTATAGTGTTCTATATTTTTTATTGTATTTTATATAATGAGTTTGCAGGTGTCTGTAGCTGTTTCAGTTTTTTTTTAACACCAACACGGACGAATTAAAATCTTAAGTGATGATGCAGTATGCTCAGCTTGGATTACATTAAAATTAAAAACGTAAATGTCTTATCCTCTTTAAATACTTTGTCCGCTACTCTGACGTTATTATTATTTTGATTGCTTTTCAGTTTAATAATCGTATAATAAAAAATAAAATGTTTATAAACTTTTATCAGTGAAAATAATCAACATACAAAATTCAAGTTTTGCCTATGAAAACGGTTTCATATTACCATGCATACCTAGTAGATGTCGCCTACATCGTTAATTTCACCAGTGGTGCTCGATCAGTTTGAAATAGCACGGGTGTTGAGCTGCGATATGATGTCTTGCTCTCTTGTCATCGAAAAGAAACTTTGATATGGTTCACTATTGATCTCTATAACTTTTGGAAGAAGAAGCAGAAAATAAAAATGAAAGTAAATATTAGACTTTAGAAATATCATTTTAAGCTTTATTTTCACGTTCCAGTTGAAAGCAATTGAAATAGATATATTCCAGCTTATTTTAAGCAAAAACTAGGCGGATCTCATCTTAGAAAATGTAAGTTTCACATTTTTTTTCGTCCGTATAATAAATATATGCATAAACAAGACGATTTTATGAACACTTTATTTTCGGATTGTATTTGCTTTAGGATTTAAATAGCTTGTTTATTTTACACGTGTTTCCCATTACATATTATATAAATAAGAGCATGAAGGAATGAAATTTGACACATTCAATTAATTCATTTTAAAATTGCTAGGCAACCAATAGTTAAATAACATGCTCATTCTATGGACCAAAATAAAGACATATTTGGATTTAATTCTAAATGCAGTATTACTTTAAATGAAGTTATTCAATTTGGCAATGAAAAGAAAAAAGTGGCAAGACGCCGATGGGCTATTTTAGCAAAAGCGCTGAAGGTACCTATATTATTTGTGTTTGATTTGTAACATTAGATTCTCACATAGATAGATCACCACTAAATTGTGCATGCTTGTAGAAGCTCATAGGTTTGTTGTATGTATTGAATTTGAGAAAAATACTGATTTTATGTCGAACTGACTGACTGATAATGGAAAATCTGTAGATGGAAGCCAAAATCAGTATTTTTTCAATGTATTAGTATTAGATGTTGATGTTGTTTGGCTTCTTAAAGAAAATGAAAGAAGAAAACACATATTTTTTTATCTAGAGCCCAACGGAAAGTCAGCCTTCAAGTCCAACTGATGAATTTTCTGTGCGTCGAATTTCTTCCTTCATGTTATTAAAAACTCAAGAACTGTCTACTATCCCCATAATCCCAGCGGAAAGTCAATGCATAGACCAAATTAAAAAACGTACTTGGTTTAAATATTCTATCACAGTAGACGAATATGACTATTTTATTAATGTCGGTCACAGAAATCGCACATTTTCCGCAGAAGATTTGATGGGATTTAACAATACTGGCAACATATGCATTTGGCCTTCTGAAGAAACCTTAAGCTACTATGTTTGCTCAAACCTAGAGAAATTTAACCATAAAAGTGTATTAGAATTAGGCGGAGGTATGTCGTGCTTGGCTGGTCTCTTTGCTGCTAAATATGGCAAGCCGAAACGTGTAACAGTTACCGACGGGAACAAGGTTTCGGTAGATAACGTTCAGGTAACTTTGAAATGTAACGAATTTGAAACTTCAGTTAAATGCAAAGTTCTGAAATGGAATTGTTATGATGCAGCTGAAAAATTCGATGTGATTTTATGTGCCGATTGTTTATTTTTCGACGATGCAAGGGCTGATCTAATAGAGTGCCTTTGGGCTTGTCTTGCAAATGATGGAATTGCTTATGTCATGGCCCCCCAAAGAGGAAACACGCTGGACAACTTCCTGTCGCAATCCGAAGGAAAAGGTTTCATATGCAAAAAGATCCCGAATTATAATAATATCGTTTGGGAGAAAAGATTGGCTTTATTGAATCATTGTGATTACAATGATAATATACATTACCCGATACTTATAGAAGTGACCAAAGAATAAGTGACCTTAGAATTTTGCATATACCTATCAAAAATAGTTGACCATATTCCTTATATCTAGTCTGATATTAACCTTATCTGTGATAAATAATACCAATTTCCTCTATAAGTCTTAATTATCATGTTTGAATTCTTACGAGAGCGTAGAAGTATTAGAATAAATATAGATTTCAATTGAACCTGAGAATTTAATGAAACAACGGGATGGGCATTTGATACTACATAGTCACTTTTCGGCAATAACTGCAAAAAATATGCCTAGCTTGATTTCACTTTGTGATTATCCATATAATAATATACCTATAATGTGTTTAGAAATGCAAACAGCAATATAAAAATAAATTTGGCACTTTCTTAGTCATAAATTAGTATAGGTGTGAAATAGCATTTGATTCTATTAATTTTCTTGGCATACCATCAAAGAACATAATAAATAAATCAATATTTCGGTGAATAAGGTGTGATAAAAATGTAGTTAGAAAAGCTGGATCTTCTATATGATAAATAAACGTTCATTCTAAATCTAAAAAGGGTTACAACAATAACCAGAAATTTGAATTTGGAAAAATATATAAACAATTTTCTTATATCTTATAAATGTTTTGAAAATTGTTACTAAAGTTTGAAAATAACACATTTGTTTAGGTATTTATACATCAGTATGTATTAATGTTCTGTTATAAAAAAGTATATGAATAAGAATAAATTCACAGTTATCCTCAGTACAAGAATATACTCTTAAGTATTTTATATAATTTAATGAAATATTTTAATTTTTATTTCCAGTACAGAAGAATATTTATTACAAATCAAGTTATATCTTATGACATTAACGTGTATAAGCTATGTCTATTACGTTAATGTAGGTTAAAATGAAAATTATCTCATGTGCTTAGAGACCTGCAAAGCTTCAAATCTATAAATATAGGTATTTAATTTTAGCTATTATTGATTTTCGCTCACTTTGTTTAACATACCATTAACTTATTTAAGTGTAGAATAACGGCATGTTTATATTAGTATCTTTCAGTGCAGTGGTGATTGATATTTCAAGTTGTTTTTCAGCCTAAGCTAGCATTCCCTTGAATATAAAGTCAACTAACACTTAAAACTTATATTCACATATAATTTTTAATAAATATCCCTTAGGTGAACATTCTTAAGTGAAAAAGACCATTTTTGCCAGTATTTAGAGAATATAATTATTAGTTACCTGTTTAGTTCGTTATATAAAATTATATTTTAGATTTAATACCACTGCACTTTTTTGTTGTATATTTAAATTGAATACTAAATTTTTATTTGATTCCTGTAAAAAACGAAAGATGCTGCGACATTTTTAAATAATGTGCATCAAATTTAAAAAATTGTATTGGGCTGGATAAAAAAACTAAATGTTGTATTTTTAACTAATAGAAGCAGTAATATACTTACATAAACAATGAAATTACAATATGGTCAAACTTTGTAATTTAAAACAATAATCTATCCAGTATCTTATAGCTTTGATATACATATATCACATGTAAAATAATAAATAGCCTAATTATTGTAAAACTGCACTAAAACGCTAATAATTGCAAAAACACAAGACTATTATATTATGACTCAACTTTACTAGATTTGTTTCATTTAAAATACTGTCCAAGACAAAGTAGCAGGATTTTTTTATAGAAAATGCCTATATCATATTTACGTAATTTTAATATAAATTTTAAATTCATTATGTAACTTTCTTGCCAAATGAATTTAAATGCTGCTGAAATCGAAAAATTTAATAAACGTTCTAAATATTTAATATAACAATACTACATGTAGTTGTACAATACTTCTAAACAAATCAGCTTTACACATATTTCAGCTAAAATGTGTAGAATTATATTTATTTAAATTTCCCATTCTTTCCATATATTTAAATATATCCTCAACAATTGTATACTTACTATTATTGTTTCATTCCCTGTTTACAATTTAATAAGGTCGATCGTGTACAGTGTACTCTTCTGCAAATTATTTTAGTATAAGTAGTATTACATTCACTCTAGATTGTAGAAATGTTTTTTCTTTCATTACAGAGAATTAAGTTAACATAAACACTAAAAGTATACTATCATGTTTATTAATTCCAGCTTAAATATAATCTAGATCTAGAATCACTGCTAAATTTGAAAATTGTATTGCACTCTGACCTCAGAAAATTTATATTTTTGCAGTACTTTTCCCAGTTTAAGTAGAATCCAAATTCGTTTGTTGTAATACAGCTTTTATTCAACATAAGAGAAAGTTGTTTTATATCCGTTATTGGTACTATCGAAATATATCAATAAAAAACAAGTATACAGGTACATACTATTTAACTAATGGTATTGCGAGGAACAAGTACTCTGCGGGTTACAGGCCCCGTTCAGCATTGAATTTTACCCTGGGTGTCTAGTAAACCGCTAAGATCATTCGTCAACAGAATCGCCAAGTATAAACCAGTTAATTTCCAGCAATATGTCGTAGGTGAGATGACCGACGAATGATTAAGCTATTTGGCTGTTTATCTAGCGACACGTTTTGAATGTGGGTGAGGTGTAACCTATAAAGTATATGTCATATCTTAAATTGTCATTCTTACTAAGTTCATCTTAGTAGGTCACTCTCTGCCAGGTGCAAAGAAATTGTAGGTTATATTTGACCCACACTATACAGGTATTATATTTAGCTTTCCCTTATATATTCTACGGATAATTATTGTTGTTAATTTTTATTGCCTCTATGTAACCAGTATTTATCAATTTAGTATTTTAAAGTAGTAGTTCTAGTCACAACTCGAGTCTTCTCCATTAGTTCCTAATATTTAAAAGTGTATCGACATTGGATTGTTGCTATTAAAAATATAACAAATACAGTTTCTTTTATTTTCTCCTATTTTCTTAGGGCCGATTATTGGAAGTCTCAGGACAGAAAATACTGTGATTTCTGTAAGTGCTGGATCGCAGATAACAAACCTGTAAGTTTTTATTATAATTGGTGATTAATAACTGTTTTCTAAGCGCCTTTTGTTCCCGCGAGCCTTTTTTAACAAACTAATAATAGACTCAATTTTTTTTGTCAGTAAACCGATCTTTTAAAAAAAATAAGCATTGATACGTTGAACGAAGGTAATTCTAAAGGTAATCCTTTTACTGTCGCGTTTTGTTGATCTGTTAAATATGGATATTTTTTATTTTAGAGTGTCGAATTTCACGAGAAAGGTAGAAGGCATCAAGAAAATGTTAAAAAGAAACTTAAATCTATCACAAAAAATAGCGCTAAAGCACAGAGGGAAACCGAGAAAGTTGACGCCACCCTCAGACAAATGGAAGCTGCTGCTATGGTAGCGTATCGAAAAGATGTCGAGACTAACTCTAGCGCCGACTTAACATCCATAGCTATAAATAATAAGCTAAAAGAGGATAATTTGACTTTAAGTGGAAATAGCACAAAAATTTGGTACGAAGCGAAATCTAAAGAGGGTCATGTGTACTTTTGGAATATTTTAACGAATAGTGAGTATATTAATTTTAAAAGGAAGCAACAAATTGAATTTTGCTGTCTCATTATTACATCGGAAACTAAAAATGATTTTCCCGGTATAATTCGAGACATTTAAGGATTTCTTTCTGTAATTAGAAACGTCATGGGAGGTACCGAAGGAAGGATGTTTAAGTTTAAAAGAACAAAGAGAGGAAAAAGATACAGAAACCGCAAAGCAGTTAAAAGAGTTGGATAAAACGAGGAAAATAGAAGGTCTTCAGAGGTAAGCTGTGGTAAAAAGTAAATAAAACTACTTTTTTTTGTTGATCTCTATCAGTTATTCCTATTTATTTTCACATTTACGGTATTCTAGTGGGTAGATAGAAAATAACATATCATTTTGTAACATTTGAAGAATGCAAATTCAGAAACAAGAGGAGGAAGAAGAGAGGGCGAGGGTTGCCAGAGAAAAAATGAAGGAAAGGAGAGTGGAAGAAGATATTCCCGAGCCAGTTTACGGACCTATTATAGATCCCGGAAAAAATGATCCGTATGGTAAATGGGAAACTGTAAAGCAGAGGTAAGAAAAATAATGTAAATTTTTTAATTACATCCGGCACAAAGGTAACCAATGAAATATTTTTTTTTAGCGTAACTATGGATTTACAACTGCCTGTACAGCATGAATATTTTGACTGTCCTATTATAGTTGAACCCGAACCAGTTGTAAAAGAATTTAAAGAAAAAACAGTGGAGAGTTTGTCAAGTGAGGGGGCATGTGGCAGTTTTAAGAAGAGAAAAATTGGCGCCTGGGCAAAAAGGAATACAAGACAAAGATTAAACGACGATTAGTAGTTGCATTATTTAGTCATATTTCATATACAATTAGGCTACATATAGTTTTATATCTTATCTTTCCAATTACCTGTTACAAAATAAATTTAGAAAAGCACACTCTTGTACATAAAATTTCATGAAATAAACAGTATAAAGTTAATTTTTATTTTATCACTTGTTTATTTATACATGAGTACTGCAATTGTCATTAATTTACAATTTAATTCTGCAGTTTGAACAACTATTTAAATTATTATGTTACGGGTTGCAGAAGACATTAATCTACATCAATAATTATAGGTGGCGCTGTTAGAACAAAAGTTTGGTAGGTATATTCTGTTTTTCTGTCTAAAAATTGTTTGTCCTAGGTATGTTGCCAACTATGATATGACTCTATACAATCATACAGTCATATACTTATTATCTGTATACTAGTAGCCGGCTATTATAGACCCCTGTGTACGGAATTGTCCGGAGAGAAGGAGATACTTTTCTGTCTCTCCCGAGGAATTAGAACCCAATGCGCATGCCCTGCACACAAAATCATGAACGAGTGGAGAGAGCAAGATGGCTGTGGTCCTTACTATGGATTGTCCACTGCTTAGATTGTGACATTTTGTTTATTATATCTAGTATCTAGCGAAATTGTCACATTCTCGCATCGGCATCTGTTTCTAACGCATGCACACCTTTCCTTCCGGTCAAGATCCAAACAAAACTCATAGTATACTTATAAATAGTATGTATATGCATACAGTACTCTAATTTCGAGTACGTTAGGTACTTACTTTCCGTGTACTAGTTACTTGTTTCATTCTTGATATATTGGTACTTCTACTTTTTCTAGTTTTTTCCTTCGCTAATATATGGTGCCATAATATGCTCTTCATCTTCCTCTTTTTTTGCAAATTCTAATCTAATTAGCATAGGATAAATGGATGACCCACAAAGCGCCTACACCGGCCGCATTTGCGGTCGGGGTAGACGACGGATGGGGCCCACCTACGAAGGCTGTCCAGGCCTACACGAGATGAGGCAGGATAAAGAGGGATAATCCCCCTCGATCCCAAACCATTGAGGCCAATTTCTAGCCATGGAATAATGGCGCGAATCTAATTAGCATTAGAAACAGTTTCTAACAGGCAGACACATTCGCATTTTATTCGAAACAATGAATTTTGAACCTTCTGGAAGCATTACATTGGAATGCGCATGCATTGGAAACTGTTTGGGATTGCTCTAGGAACAAAGCTATTAAAGTAAATGAAATTGTCATTTGTAAATGATCGCGGTGGAAATTCTTAACTTTTGAGAAAAATTGAATATTGTTAATATAAGATGCACATTTTGTTTTACATTGACATTACAAAAATAAAAAAAAGTTTTTAAAAAGGTTCCTTTTGAGTAAGAATTATATCTTCACAGAGAATTAATCAAGAATATTTATTACTAGAAATAAGTATGTGATACAATTAAATTATTTGACCACTTGTTCTTGAAATTGTACCCACTCTCTCTGCCACTCGTCTACGCTGTCGCCGTAAGCGTGCTCCTCCGTATAGTATATACTCAAAGATATACATTGTTTGTTTCTAGTGTATTTTTTGTTTAATTGTTGGTACAACTTATAAGTACTTCATACTTCACGTTAATCATAACAACCCTGTTGCCAACTGTTACCAAATAAAATTTCTTCATTGCTGAGCCTGAGTGATCTGTAAATTCTCGTACACTACACTGATGTGTTTTGTGATGGAAAAACTAGTTTGTATGTAGTGTCTTGGAAGTGCGGGTGCTGCTATTGTGCGAAAAATACTATTGTTTATGTAGTTATAACCTTTATTTTATGTTTTTGTAGTACAATTAGGACATGGCATCATTATCGTTACCAAGAGTCTTACATCCAAGGAAAACCAGCTTAGAAATTGAACGGGAAATCTTCGAAAAATCACAGGTGAGTTAGGTTAAATTAATCGGCTTTAATATTATGTTTATTTAATTGTAAGATATGTTTACACCATATTATTGATTTAAAGGATGTGATATTACGTTTTTGATCGTGATCCAAAGTGAGACTCGCTGTGACGTTATTATATTCAGTTTTAGAATTTTCCCTAATTGTGCAAAACCAAACAATTGGCAAATTAAATTCTTTTTTCATTCTGTAAAAAAATGTGTAATTCCGAATTACGAAAGTAATAAGCAGAGGTTTGATTAGTAAAGACACCGAATATTTGTACGTGAATAAAAATAACATAAACGGCGTTATTTCTCTTTATATTTACATTTAGGTAAATGTAGGTTGTGATCAATAAGAATTTTTTTTCTAATTAGATTTCTTACTCCATATTTAATAAACTGTGGATCCAGATGTATTTAAATTCAAGATCACATCTGTAAAATAATGATACTGATACTCCATGAATATTAAAATGCTGAACAGCTGCGTCTGCCAAAAAAGAATATTTTTATGTATGTGATACGTAGTAATGTACCTACCTAATTAATTTTGAATAACTACCTAGTGTTGCTTTAAATTTTTTAATTTTTCATTTCAAATTAGGATACAATTTTTTAATGAAAAATGAGCAGAAAAGTACAGAAAATTTAAAAAACTTAATTCAGTAAAATGTGTTTTTTTTTATTTGTTTGTTTTGAGCACCTACTTATTACAGAAATATTTTTCATTCAATAGGTACCTAGGTATGTAGATTATAATGTAGGTAGCAGTAGAGCATTATTGCTTTCCAAAACAAGTGGGTTTTACCTTTGTCTATACATACTTGCCTTCATTATATTCTGAAAGTTTTATATTTTGTTAGGAATTTGAATTCAAATTTGTACTATAAATTTCCGTTTACATCAAAATTTATTAAGTCTAAATAAAGTTATAACTGTTTTTTTCCCAAAAGTTAATTTATTTCATTTATTTTATTGCAATAACAAAACATTGACAGTATAGTGTGAATTGTCTGTTATTTAGATAGAAATAATAAACAACCTTGTTTTGCGTTGCAATGTTACAGAGTTTGCCTTGATTTTTAAACTTGGGTTCATTATTTATGGTGGTACACTACTGTGCCAGGGTGAAATAAGTGTCGTTCTATGCTTGGATATTGAAATGTCGAGTTTAAATACTCTTTTTCAATGTTTACCTACTCTCCAAGATGTATAACAGTTACGTTACTGTTTCCGTGCTTCGCTTCGTGAAATTCCTATTTATAAATATGTAATTAAAACTGCCTAATTAGCTTTACTGAATGCTACGTATTCGGCATGTCTGCACCCCATGAAAGTCGAGTATCTTAATGAATGAGCAATGTGCACTTCGAAGTGCAATTATTATTATATAATTTTACCTCGTCTAGGAACTAGGAAATATTGTCGCCTAATGCACTAATCGATTTTTATTATTACAAACAGAAAGTCATGGTTGAGTTTCAAATAGAATTAATGACTGGAGGATTTTAAAAAATAGAAAAACCAAAATTAATAAATTTCTTAACGTCAAACGATTAGAAGTAACTCATGCGTTTATATATTTGACTCAGAACCAATACATATTATACAGGGTGTATACCAATCAGAAAACCGGAAATTATCTCAAGGAATTTCATAGATCTGAAAAAGTAAGTGAAATATCAGAGAATTTCGTCAAATTCCAATTATAATTGGTTTTTATTTACAAGGTGCTATCAATGGATGTCACAATGCTCAAAAGTAATTTTCTACTCCTATTAATAAACGGCGTCTATTTCATTAAGAATTACACTTTTAAAAAATCAGATCTAATCTCGTTTTTTGTAAGTAGTCCAGTTGAAAAAATTATTAAACCTTTATCGTGTAATTTGTTTCATGTTATATTATTTTTTCGAAAAAGTTGTTCTCGGACTAAGCTCTGTGGAGGCGGACCTTGCCTAGGAGTTTTGATAGAGGATCCACCCCCACAGAGCCTAGACCGAGGTCAATAGGTGTAGGTCGAACATTCCTAGCTGAAGCTAAGGAAAACTACCCTGCTTTAAATATCACACAGGCTCTTAAACCTTTAAACCCACTATTAGATTGCCTCCATTTGGTATTTACAACTAGAAAAAAATTACAAATAAAAGTGTTATTTGCGGCAAAGTTTATGGCAAAAAATTAGGAAACGGCGGTTATTGAAAAATGGTAACATGTAGAGTTTATATCTATCTGGAAAACCTAATTGTAGATCTGATTGCATTTTAATCATAATAATTATACAATTCTCAAAACTACATAAAGAATAACAATTATTGTTGCAATACTTTTTTGAGTAATTAATTTAAGTAATTCGATTCCTATAATATTACTTAAGTGGTAAACAACTGATTTGTTCACAGATTAATTGTAAATTAAAAATTACGTGGCGAGTTATACAAGGTGTCTGAATTTAAAAGTACCATATCTTTCTCTCGTTTACACAAGAGAAATTGTTATTAGTTCATTGACTTTGATAAATTTAAGCTTGAAGGTAATAGCAGGTTTACACCTGTAAGGGTTTGCTAGCGTCAGTAACTGTTGGAAAGAAGTGGGGTGTGTTCTAACTTTTTTACTACATCACAAAATGAAAATATTTTAAAAAATATCAGGGTCGTATTTTTTTCATTTTCACCTCATTTAAATCCTAAAAAAATTATAGTATGCTTGTGACGTCATTAAATTTCATGTCCAACCCCAAATAGGTATGTATAGTAATTTTTAGATTATTTTAGTCCATTGTCGTTGGTAACATGCGCGTCAGCATAACTGCTTTAGCATTTTTTTGCCAGATTCATCACTGAACTGAAAGACATTTGCATGTTACTAATTATTGGTTTATACATTAAAAAAGTTATTTTGCCAAACACCGTCAGACCCCATGGCATAAAAAACATATTCCCGTAATTCCCATTCTCCACATGACGTCATGTGGAGAATGATTTCAATATCACAATAATTGCATATCCTCCAGTATTATCAACATGATTCGGTAAATCTTGTGCAGCTGTTTCAGAATTTTTCTTGGATCCTAACATATTTAACAAAAATTTGCTAGTATGTAGGCTTTATTAATCTTTTGGTAGCTCCTACTTTTTAAATTTGATAGATTCTGTAGCTAAAGACAAATATAGGTGTGATATTTGGCTTCGCCGTGGAATAATGCAAGCATTTTTTGGTATTAGATACATATTTACGTCTGTAAGCTTCAACCCAGATTTTTTAATGTTTTCATTATTTTAAAAAGGGAAGGTATATCCTTATTAAAAAATTTGCAACGGTTATATGTTGTACAAACAAAAGCAATGAACTGCATTTCAAGAAGTCATTGTTACATAATAACCAATAGTTAATCATCACAGGAATAAATAGTTTGAAACATATCAATGACGAACACACATATGTGAAATTTACACCACTTTAGAACGGACTGGACATAAAAATTAAACTATAATGATAGGTTAGAATTATATCCACAAATGGCTATATGATCTCCACGTGACGTCATAACATGGCCGCGGGTGTAGTCATATCTTAGTCTTTGTATCATGGTCAGATCGACAAAATGTTACTATAATTTCGAAAGATGCTAAAGTTGCATTGAGAAATTTATCGGCGCCAGCAAATCCATGCAGGTGTAAACCCACCATAAGCAATGACTTGCATGACAGTGGTTCTGTGAGAACTGAGTACATCAAAAATGAAGTCTGCTGGTTATTTTACGTGTAGCACCTTATCTGAGACTGATAAACAGTTGAGCATATGTGTGTGCACACAAACATAATTCTATAGAAGTGTCAGTTTTTTAAAGATAGTAAAAATCCTCTTGTTTTATTACCTATTTTTAACAGTAAAATAAAATCGGACGTCTTGGTCTTCACATAATTTTGGATCTCGATTTGGGGCACCAAGAAGAAGGCGTGAGTAAATATTTCTTGACAAAACAGTAGTCCTAGTGTTAGTAGCTTTATATTTATTGATATTGCATCGGAAATTTTCAAAGACAGTGTAAATTGAATTTTATAAGCACTGTTTTATAACAAAGGTCAATACGTTGTGTAATATTATACCTGTATTTCAAATAATTATCAAGTGATCAGTGTTTACATCAATATCACCGGTGAGTTGATAAATCATAGAAGTGTTTTATAAATAAGGTTTTTTTTTTTAAATACGTATAACGCCAACTCTTATTATTACCTTGAAATGGTGCGAGCATAATATTTTAATTTTGGTTTTCATTTATTCATTTTGTAATAATAATTTACTACTGGTAGTTGATATCCTGTTATCTGATTTCAGTAAAATTAATTCAATAACAAGCCATAAAAATAACATTTTTAATGTGTTTTTAACATTTTTCTTTGTGTTAGATACATCATCGTACCCTGAAGTTACTGAGCGTTTTAAATCGCCTTAATTTTTTAAATTCACATGTATTTACATGCGGTCAACTGAATTGGTCATTTAAATTCAGTTTATCAACCCGAATTCCCGGAATAGTGAAAAAATATTTACATTTCAAGCACTACGATGTGAACAAACTCATATTATAAATTAAAAGATGTGACTAGAATTGATTCTTAAAAATGTTAAGTCTTTGGGAGACACCGGACAAGTTTGTATGAGGCCTGTTCAGAAAATAACCGAACTTATTGCATGAAATAGTGACCAGCATGAATATGAAAAACGTTTGTATTTTTGAGTGTTTATTTTTGAATTTGTTTAACATGTTTAGGATTTATAGTTTATTTTTTTATACTAATGATCTATTTCCGACATATGAGAAGCTTTTTCATATAAATGTTTATTTTCAGATTTGCATGCATTGATTGATTGTTTTAACATATTTCGCCTAACACTTGCATGCCTTGTTGAAGAAAAATCTGATTTTCTAACAGTAAAAAAAATGGCCAGGGAGTACACACCCAGAGATTTGGAGAAATATGTGAGTAAAAGGTTTTACATTGCTGATGGTCTTTGTTTTTGGGTGCTTCGTAGATGTTGTTGTCCTGCATATTCTGTTTGTAAATGGGTTCTGCTTGATCTTGATATATGTTTTGTCTGTACAAGACCGGTACAAGTTAATAACTAAGGAAGTTTGATAATTTTTTGTCAAACTAAAGAAATATTAATGTAACCTGTTTCAAATCATTTCGTACTACCCCACTGGAAGCACGCTTATAATTTTTTATCACGGGAAATGATACTGTGACTGCTGTGGAACGAGTAGGCTGTTTAAATCGCATGCATGGGTGTGTTGATTTTTAAAAGCTGTTGCAAATTTTAACCTTGTGTAGAGTAGAGTAAGACTATTAGTCACACCAGTGTTTCTTCCTGCAGTAGTAGGTAGTAACCTACATCCTAATTTTTGTCTGCTAATACCTGGTGCTAATAAGCAAAACAGTATTATACAGGGTGTAACTAAATAAGTGTAAAACATTTAAGGGGGTGATTCCTCATCGAAAAAAAGATAGGATCTCTCATATAAAGAAACTTCATTGGAGCATCCCTTGTTAAGATACAGCCCCTTAAAGGGGGTACATAAAATTTGTTTAACAATTTTTTTCACAAGCACTAAACAAGTTACAATATTGAAATTAACCTGACATTTTCTACTACCAAAAAGACACTTAGCCAGTAATTTATTTGGTTTACCCCATGGT